CCAGGCATGATGGCTCATGCCTGTAATCCCAGCACTTTGGGAGGCCAAGATGGGCAGAACACCTAAAGTCAAGAGTTGGAGATCAGCCTGGACAACATGGTGAAAACCCATCTTTACTAAAAATACAAAAATTAGCTAGGCATGTTGGCATGTGCCTGTAATCTCAGCTACTTGGGAGGCTGAGGCACAAGAATCTCTGCAAACAGGGGAGGAAGAGGTTGCAGTGGGCAGAGATGGTATCACAGCACTCCAGCCTGGGTGACAGAGCAAGACTCCAGCTGAAAAACAGTTGAGACTAGCTTCATTGCATCTTCCAAATGATTAGATATCTTGATACTAAAGTACAAGAGGATAAATAAAATGCTCTCCAACATGTATTTGGGGAAATGAGAGGAAACAGTGATTAGAACATAGATGTAGTATGATTTAAATTGATTAACAAATACATTCATTCAACCAGGCAGTCACTCCCTCAGTATAAGCTCCTTCAGACATTAAACTAGGTATAGGGACTTCAGAGATGACAGTATCTAGTTCTTGCTTCGTAAGAGCTAGCAGTCTATGAGAAAGTGATGTTAAAACAAACTAAAGCACTACAGTTAAGTTTCAACATGGAACTATACATAAAGTGCATAAATAAAGGACCACACATAAAATATCTGGAAGACTCAGGGTACATTAAGTATAAAAGGTGACAGAAGACTTGAAAATTAGAGTACAAGTAGGAATATGGCAAATATTCAAAAAAAAAAGATAGGTGGTTCAAACAATGGAAGTATCCTCTGCTGGAATAGATGATACATGATGAGTAATGACACATCAAAGGGGAGATGACGGGGTAGCTTGGAGGAACAGGGATTAAGCAAATATGAGGCAGGACAAGTTGGAAAGAGCCAGATCAAAGAAGGCTTTTCAGGTTTGGCAAATGAGCTCAAATTACCCCTAGTAAGTGAAGAGAAGCCATGAGTAAAGTTCTGAAAAAAAATCATACTAAAAAGAAGGTGAATGTAGGAGAGAGACATTAGGAATAGAATTTCAATGAGGAAACTATTACAACCACCAGAGGAAAGATCATAACTAAGATAAAGCTCCAGGTGGAAAAGAAGAATGTAGTTAAGAAAAATACTGATACAGTAAAATTGACAGTGCTTAATGATTTTTGAGAAGAATGGAAATAGAGAGAGCAGTTGGTGTTCAGGGTTTAAACTTCTAAAACAGTAATATCCCTATAGAAATCCAAATGATACAGTCAACCAATATGGTTATTATTGATTTGTGTGATAAATTTATATATCAGCACAAGAAAAATGGTATTGATTATTACTAAGCTACTGGATGGATTACAGGTATGGTGGTATTAATATGTATATGTATACTGGAATCACTGAGAAGGATTTCTGGGATACAGCTAGATGGTTTAAAATGTACCCTGAGGTGTTTGTATCTGATTTTATTGTCTTGATTTGAAATTGCTGTAAACTCAATAAATCAGTTATAAGTATCACCATCGTCAGGCTCTGATTGACACTGTTTCAAAAGTGAATTCTCATCTTTTAATAAGTATAAAGACAGACAGTATCTGGGCAGAGGACTGGGGAAGACGTTATCTGATTGTGCAGTAAAGAACAGTAATATTGCTCCCTGAAAGATATTTGTTCACCTTCAGGAGCATGAAAAGATGGGAACACAAGATAGAACACTATCTTGATAGTATCGTGTAGGAATGGAAAAAAGTGGGATATCACATGTTAAAAGAAAATCCTCATGTGTAAAGGAAGAATGTTGAGCTTTATTTCTTCCTCCTTAACTAGGTCAGGCTTGGAAGTATTGTGTGAGTTTGTTTCTTGGTTGGGTTTATACCAAGTAAAACTAAAAATTTTACTGAGTTACTAACATTAACATCTTTAATATGATGACCCCAGACTGTAGAGAAAGAAACTACAGTTGCAGGAGAAGTGGTTTTGTATTCAGTAGTCATTTAACTGATGAACAGTTATCTCAAGGGCCAATTAAAATCCTAACTCAACTAGAAAAACTCTCATGAATTCAATTTACTGTTTCCTTTTATAGCTCCAACATGAAGAAAGGATGTCAAAGTGTAAGAACTATGATCTTATACAATGGCAAATGATTACAATACTGATGATAATAGGTCTTGCTCCAAGCACTAGAGACTTGGCTGATAATCCCATTTTTTATGGGACCATAGTGGGAAAAAAGAACAAGAGATACATAAACACTGAGATCTCATGCATTGACTGAAGGGAATGTTGCCAATACCACAATGCCAGGCTATAATTCTTTATTCTTTTTTATCTAACTAGAATCCTCTTAATTTACTGACTATATTTGTGCTGGAAATAGCCTATTAATTTCTTCCTAAACATTTAATAACTTGTGAAAATGCTTACAATACAATTTTAAGTAGAAAAAAGAATACTTATATAAGACATAAATATGGCAATATTTTAATATAGGACTCAATTGTTTTTATTTTAATAATTATATGCTATTTTATAGTTAAGAATTAATGTTATGTAATGAAAATATTTTGTAATTTTTGTATTTTTGCATAATGTTAAATGATGAAAAAATTTAAAAATGTATTAGTCTTCCAAAAGGGAATTGTGAAAACAAAATCAATATTTTGAAAGAAACTTTTATTTTAATGATAAACCTCATATCTACTTTAGATTTAAGGACTATACCAAAGGGAAGAGTATTGCATTGAAAATTCTTCTACATCATTCAAAATCCATGGTTAACATACACCACCCAGGATTTTTAATAGACACATTTTTTTATCGTCCATTTTTATTTTAACATTCTTCCCCGTCCCAAGAAATCATCTGCCAGTTCAACAGGGCAGGACAGAAGAGGAATAGACTCATGGCTAGAAAGATAGAACCCAAATCTGTAATTATTCTAATACCCTGTCTCCTTTTCCATGTTGCAGAGGTTAATTCCTTCTAAGAGCTTCTACCTTGGAAATCAATACCTTATTCCTTGTATTTTTCTGTCTTTCAATAGTTTACATAAGTTACCAGAAATAAACTTCATTTCAGGAGATAACGAGTAAAGTGCTAGAGGGACTCACATAGCTACACACAGAGTACCCAAGTGAAATTGGATACTTTTTATGATTCTTATACATAAAGAGGAACACTAATCATTGGACTTATTTATCTGTGGAAGTCAATATATAAAAATGTAAAATTGTCCTAACAGCTACAGATTTACTTTTATTAAACCATTTAATAATAGTACTGAAAATAAATAAGATATTTATGCTGAAATCAAAGAATTATAGGAAAGATATTATAGAAAAAGTATAGAAAAAAAAAATTCCATGATCCTAACAACAATTTAAAGGATAGTATGCATTGTAATATTAAAAATCACATTGTCTTAAGTTTCAAAAGTTTGATTCACCATATTTAAATTGGTAATAAAATGTAACATATATTTTTTCTAGATTGCATTTTATTTTAAATCTGGCTCCACTTTGAAGGAAAATATTTTCATTTTTAAATTATTTAGGTATTTTCCTCCCAATATAAATTCTCAAACATATTGTAAGTTAAAACTGAACTACAAGAACTGGTCAACTATCTCTATACGCAAACAAATAAAATTTCCCTTATAGTGTTTCTTTTAAAAAAATTGATATGGATATATTTTCAAATTCTAGTAGGTTATTTTTCTCTCAAACAGAAAGCGTATTTTTCTTTCCATCAGAAAGTTGATGCCTTTAGGCTAACCATTTCTTCTTCATAATCTCTACGAAGGCACTCAATTTGTATTACTAAATCTTCTAAGGGTAAAAAAATCAAATTTTCCTTTTATCCCTGCAATATCAAAAATATGCTTTGAAGCCCATTGAAACAACTAATGGAAAAATTACAATCATAATAGAAAAAGCTTTTCCACAGGTAAGGATAGAGGACATTTTTGTTAATAAATTATCCATTTAGACCAATACTCATTAAAAGCAGGTGGTAATTACTTATGAAATGTAAATATTACCTGACTGCTAAGCTATTTCCTTAATTATAGTGATACTTTGGTCTGTAGAAAATTGATTTAATGAGAAAACATCAGGCATTTAAAAAAATAACATGATACATACTTACCTGGTCTGATAAGGTAGCCACTAGCCACATTTGGCTACTACTGAGCAAATATGACTGAAATGTGACTACTCTGAATTAATACGCATGATGTCAAATACATACCATCTTTCAAATACTTAGGAAAAAAGAATATAAAATGTCTCAGTCATAATTTTTAAATTTATTACTTATTTTAAAAATAATATTTTTACATAGTAGCTTAAACTAATAACATTAATTTTTACCTTTTGGAGGGCATGTTTTGTATACAGTATAAGAAAACTTAAAATTATGTATGCCTTGCCATTAGATTTTCAGTGTAAGCATTGGTATAAACAACAAAAGTTGTTTAGCATAAACAACAAAGTTATACAAGAATATATCCTTCTTTTATAGCTTATGCATTAGTGCATAAGGTTTAAACTGGGACTTGAAAATGACAAACATGATTATTGATTAGTCTTCAGCCTTAAAGGATGAGTAAGCTCAGGGGAGAATTTTGTTTGACGTAAGTCATTTGCATAACATCTGATATCAGAAAGCATCATGTTGAAGAGTGTTCTAATTGGTAGGTGAGATCAGAAGGATAACTATCAGATTAATGTCTTCTTTTCAGTCTCTCATTTCCCGTGTAGGGCACTAATTAATTTTATAGAAATTCCTATGTTGTAGTATCCTATTGATAGTTGTAATGCCTTTTAAGATACTTGGATGGAAGCATAAATTTTTCATATAAAATTGATTTAGAAAATTATTAATAGAATTATTTGCATTGTGGTTCTGATATTATGCTTTTAATGTCAAAAAATTAAAGTTTGGACCCAGAAGTTAATATGTATACAATACTATTTAGAAACACACAAACTGATCTTTAAGTGATATTCATACCGTCATAAATCCATCCAGCAAACCTGAATCGGGTTTCGGAGGTGCCTGCAATCGTTCCATCGACCACTTTTCAATGATGGAGGAGACTTGGGTATTTTCTGTATTTAATATTCTGAATCCTGTCATATTAACACCACTGTATCTGTAGGGCTCAACATCAAGAGCAAAGAGGTCCTGAAAGACAAATGTTATTGTGTTATTATTGACAAAGTATCTTCACAGCATGTGTTAATGAAATAGTCACTTATTCTTGCCTCCCTTAGGTCACTTAACATCATTGTGTCAAGTGACGTTAAACATCACAAATCACCACGATTCAAAGAGACTGTCATCATGCTTTGGCATTGCAGAGACATATCCTCTGTATGTAAAAATCATGTATATATTTTATTCTAAAAACACCAGTGAAACAATGGGCTATTCCATAACTTATATCTAAGATTTGCAATAGCTTCTCTGTTAAGGATAGTTTGCCCTTATTTTATGTATTCACCCTTATTTTATGTATTCATATTTTACTTTAATTTTTTCTTTGCCCTGCTTCGCTTCCTTGCCTGGTTATTGTTATTTTTAATATTTTGTTTTGTCAGTGTTTGTTCCTTTGTTTGATTGTTGTTTTAGAAAGCCGGTCACAAAATACAGCTTCTACCTAATGAAACTATACAAAAGGTTTGGAAAAAACGTTAAGAAGAATAGTCGTTTTGGTTGCAGAAACAATACAGTTCTTTTATCTCACATCTCACCTAGGAACTTCACCATAAGTTCCTAATAAACATTTTCTTTCTGTTGTCCTTTCTAGTCTGCATATAGTGAATGTTCTTGCTCTGCCCTTTAGCTTTCCCAGGAGACATGAAGCCAAAGCTATCATGGAATGGATGCCACCATGAACACATGCAGCATGTCAGAGTTTTGCCCTCTTTCTGGTTGGCATAGCTAACTCTCAGATATTATTGACAATATTGAGAATCAAGGCAAGATTAATGCCATCGGTTCTATGAACAGCTTGCCTCAGACTTATACAGCTACACAGGCGAGAAAATAGAAATACAATTTAGTGGAAAGCAGCTGGCATTGGCCTGAGTTGTGGTCTGTGCTATGAAAAACATAAGGAATCTTTAGTTTTTTTTTTTTTTTATGTTTACAATCTAGCCAAGGAGATAGGATATATTCAAGGAGTACATAAATAATGCACGACAATGTATGCTAAGTGGTAAAAGAGTAGAAATCATAAGTCCAAAAGAAGTCAGAAGCAAAGCCGGTCACTTTCAATTTTCATGGTCAAGAAAAACTTCACAGAGCAGATGTGATCTTAGCTGTCATGGGGCTCAGAACATACCACCCCCAAACATGGTACTTGGCTATAGGAAATTGAGAAGACATAGAAGCAGGAAGATCACTCTGTGACCTTATCCCACCTTTCTCCCCTGAAGTGGGCCATAAAAGAATTCTCTGACCTACCTCCAGAGAAAGGAGCTTGTAAGACTCTCATTCCAGAGGGATCCTGCCCTATACCTGGAGGTCAAGAAGAATCTGAACAACTTAGCCTTGCTAAGTTTTCTCAATTTATTGCCATTAGATCATTACCTCCCTTTGTTCAATCTTTTTCCTATGTAATGACTTACTCTTTTTCAAACAAAAGCATAAATACAGCCAGATTTTCCAATTTCTTTGAATCTTCATTTCTGATGGCTTCTGTGTCACATAAAATTTATATTAAATTTTTACGTGTTCTCTTGTTAACCTGCCTTTTGTTACAGAGATCTCAGGCCTGAACCTCATGATGCATGAGGAAAAGAAATTTTTGCTCCCCTATAGCTGCCATTAATAATGACTAGGCTATTGACTGGCAAAAAGAGAATTCAAAGTGTGAGTGGAGATACAAAAATTAGAAGACATAAAACCTAATCAGGAGACTGATCTACATCAGTTCAGCTATAAAAGAGAATTCATAAAGGAGAAGAGTAGCAAAAGGAAATGGGACATTTTGGTTAGGATCAAAGTATAAAGGTCTTTAAATATAGGCCTATGAGTTCTATGTATCTTAATCTAGTTGTTTCGTTTCTTTTCCTATTGAGAGATAGTTTTGATTTCCTCAAAATCTTATGCTTATGCTGGAGCTGAGTTCTAACAGCATTGAGATATAATTTGCTGATAAGGGAATGCTCTCCACCTGCCCACCACTAAGTTTCTTACAAGCTGCAAAAAGTTGTCTGCTAGGAAATAATGTAGAAGTATAGCAGAGCCAGCTTTTGTATTTATAAGTAAAATACATCTTACTGCATGAATAATCTCCTTTGGAGGTAAGAGTTGTCATCACAGGAAGCTATTGCAATCAATTACATATCAGTAATTTGATCTGGTAGCTTTAAGACTCCTAGAAGCAAGGAGACTAACTAGAAGAATTTCAAGTTAACAGAGAAAACATTGGTTAGACTGGTTTTTATGGGAATGGAGAAGATAGATGCTAGAGACATTACTAAGAGAAAATCAGTAAAATTTTGATGGTGATATAGGAGTCAACAAAAACAGCAGGAACTTTTAAGATAATCAGAAGGTGGTCAATTCAGAGGACATTAAAGTTTAAATATTTTGAAATTGTCTAATGCCACAACAATTAAAATTGTTCTGCAGTATACAGTAATTCATGAATTACATGGAACATTTAGACCTCATGGGAACAAAGGCACTAACCGAAGCTCTAAATACAAACCAGTTCTGAAAAAAATAAATCAGATCTTCAAAAAGTGAATAGAGCTGAGATAACATAAGAATTAGTGCTTTTTTTTTTTTTTTTTTTTTTTTTTTTTTCATTGAGATGGAGTCTAGCTCTTTCACCAAGGCTGGAGAGCCATGGCATGATCTCGGCTCACTGCAACCTCCTCCTCCCAGGTTCAAGCAATTCTCCTGTCTCAGCTTTCTGAGTAACTGGGACTACAAGCTCCATCCACCACATCTGGCTAATTTTTGTATTTTTAGTAGAGACAGGGTTTCCCCAAATTGGTCAGGCTGGTCTCGAACTCCTGACCTCAGGTGGTCCACTCGCCGTGGCCTCCCAAAGTGCTGGGATTACAGGCATGAGTCACAGCTCCTGGCTGAATCTGTGCTTTTCTAAAGCATTGATTTCTCAGCAAACTAATTTTAAGATCCATTATATTCTGAAAGTTCTCTAAAGCAACATAAAAATGAGACATGAAATATTTTGAATTGATATCTGAAATGACATTATTTCAAAATCATCAGCTTCTATTAAGAAGTTATTAAGAGTTATTTTCTCTGATAATTTTGGGAGGTCTTATCAAATTAAAATATAACTACAAAGGAATAAGTCATAATACTTCTTACTAAACAACCTATTTTTCATCTGAAAAAGTCATAATAATAAAATCTAGAATATTATGTTTTAATATAGTACTTACCAGAGTGGTAAAGATATAATGATAGTATTCTGTCATCATTCCCATAGCTAATGCCTAATAAATAAAAAAAAATAACAAAAAACATTACTGAAGGTACATATTATAGGAAAGACAGTATGTCAATAATACAAGTGAGAACAAAATATAGTAGGATGTGATAAAGAATCAACCTACAATATTCATATTACATCCAATTAGGTTAAACTAAATCTTTTCCCAGTAGTTAAAGATTAGTGGTTTCTGAAGGAATTTCTGAAGCAATTCTCTAGATAGAAAAACTGTTAGTTGAATGTTTGCAATTGTAAAGCTATGGCTTAACACATTAAAGAAGGCATTAAATTTGACACAAAACCTGAAATTAGCACATCTTAATTTGTTACATTTGTAATGTCTTCACTACATATACCCTAATGAGGAACACCATTTTATTTTAATGAACAATATTACTGAATTAGGGGAAAAGTGCTGCAAAACACAATGCCAACAAGCATTTATTGTAGAACTTTAGAGACATTTCCATAGCATTAATGAAGGAAATGTAAATCACCACTCTTATTTAAAAAGTACATATAATTAAAGAAATGTTTTTGTTTTTAATAAACTAGTCCCAAATTACAATGTTTTATTTCACTCTTCTACAGTCCTCATCAGTTTTAGACTGTCAATTTTAAAACTAGGACTTTTGGATTCAAACTTTCAGTGATACAAATGTCCATGTCATTTTCTCTCTGAAAATAAGAGAATGCTTTTGAAACAACTGCTTATCAATGAACAGCAGTTGGCAAGGGTAATTAAAAAACAACATATTTTTAGTTGAATGAAGACTTCTTAGTAGGAAACTATTCTCAGGTTCATCTAATAGTCTTCCACAAGCCCTAGGTACAAAAAATCAGGAAGTAGCTGCCTCAGCTACATTCTGTCTATGGAAATTAATGGGTACAAAAAATAGAAGGAAAAAGATCTAGTATTTGATAACCCAACAGGCTGACTATAGTCAATAATAATTTAATTGTATATTTTAAAATAACTAAAACAGTATAAATGGATTGTTTGTAACATAAAGGATAAATGCTGGATGGGTGCAGTGTCTCACACCTATAATCCCTGGACTTCTGGAAACCAAGGCAGGAGGACTGGTTGAGCCCAAACCAGCCTCAGTAACATAACTAGACCCCATCTCTACAAAAAAATTGAAAAAAAATTAGCTAGGCATGGTGGCACATGCCTTTAATCCCAGCTACTCAAGAGGCTGAGGTTGAGAGGGTCGTGTGAGCTCCTGAAGTTGAGTCTGCAGGGACAGAGTAACACCCCAACTCAGAACAAACAAACAAAAACAGGGATAAATGCTTGAAGTGGTGAATATTCAATTTACCCTGATGTGATTATTACATATTGCATGCCTGTATCAAAATATCTCATATACCTTATAAATATGTACACTTACTATTTACCTACAACAATTAAAAATTTGAATAAAAATAAGAAAAACATTATGCTCATAAGTTGGCATTAACCAGTTAGGTAGGATCAAATTTGCAGTTCTTCAACATGAGCTGTTTAAGAAGGAACAGATATTTATGAAAAAGTTTGTAATGTATAAAATTTATTTTAAAAGGGAGAAACATTGGTTAACAAAAGGTGGCATCAAAGAATTGAGCACAGGAAATTTAGGTATCAAATTACCAAATAATATTTCTTGAATGGGTAATAATTATATAAACCAAACATTCTGATTAAATTTTCATCTCAAGTAGAATAGGACAGAATTTCCCTTATTAAATACAAATTTACAAGATTATCTTTGTAGAAGGCATTCATTGTTCCTGATGGACATGTTCAGATGGCTCCCTATCTCCAATACCATTCAATGACAGCTCAGTATTATCTTTGGCATTTTTTTTTTTACTTTATCAACTCTGTACGTATAGAAATAGAGATAAAGGTAATTGAAAGAAATAATGATTCAGAAGTATAACTAAAAATAATACTTATATAATGTTTAAAATGTGTCAGATACTATTCTAAGCACATTCCATATTTAAGTTTCATAAAAACCCTAGAAGTCAATCCTACTATTATGTTCATTTTACAGGTGAGAAAACTAGGACATGAAAAGAATGAATAAATTGTCCAACAAAGTGAGATAGTGAGTGAACATGGACTCCAGGTCTTTAATGTGGAGTTTGGGATCTACGTCATTTTCAAAAGTGATATATTTCATATTCCCACAGATGTGGAAAAATTTTCGACTCTATGTATTCTAAAATTTTTGCCTGTTTCTTCCTTGATAATCTGAAAACATGGACATCTCAGGCAAGTACATCAAATTCTGCTTTGGTGTAGGGGAAGGAGTTGAGATGGTAGGGAAAAGATAATTAGTTCTGACGTATGTATTTCCAATGGCTACAGGTTTTTTCTTCATCACCTTGAGAAGAAATCAATAAGGGTGTTTGGAGTCTGTCTGTGGCTTTCATTTATATTCTCTCAGTTTTTGATTTTGAAAACAAGGATCAGTTATGTACCATGATATATCATGTAGAAAAAGCTAGAGGTAGAAATAGTAGCTATTTTTAACTACCTACACTGTAACCTTACTCAAAAAAAAGTTCACGACAGGAATATTCACTTAAAAGATTAGTTAATAATTTCCAGTAGAAATTAAAAAAAAAAAAAAAAAAAAGGAACTTGCTCTGGACCTGCTTTTAATTATTTCATGTCTTACTGCTACTTTTGAATGAATTGTACATATATTTCAAACACATCAGAGGAAATAAAATCAGTATATTTTATGCACAAATAATAATTGCCTCAATATAAAAGTAGTTATGATATCAGCTCTGCTAAAAGAAATACTACAGATTAATTTTTCTAAGATCAAAATATTATTAGAGATCCCAACATTAAGCTGGTGTCCTGTTAACAATGTGATATGACAAATTAACACACACAGTTATCTAGGCAGGTAATTTGCAACCAGTTTATTTTTCAGGTAAGATTCAGAAATTATATTGCTCAAGGTCAACAATAGTAATGGGCCTATAAGCATTTCTTTATTTTTTATTTTATTTTACTTCTTTCTGCTGTAGGATTTTATTAGCATTTTCTTTTATATTTTTTTCCAGGCTAAAAGTTTTTATTTCACACTTTCTGATCTAAACTTTGAAGTTCTTGATTACTATTTTTTCCCTGTGATAGAATGTCCTTGTGAGGTTTTACTTCAGAGAATCTTGGCTGTGCCCTAGGGTATTTGCTTTGATAAATCTGGATGGAGGTAGAATCATCTGCTATGGAGGCATGCATGCCAATTAGTGTACTCAACTTGCCTCAGAGGAAATTTAGTCAACCCTAAGCTCCACTCACTTTTAAAGCTTTCTAGCAGGAAAACTTCAAATTCACTGTTGTTCAATATTTAGTAAAAGCTCAATCAGTTTAAATAAATAAGTTAAATAAATTACACAAACAAACACACAAGAGTAAACTGATTAAGGCCATCCATTTCTTTTTATGGAGAGTCCAAATATTCATTCTTGAATGAAGCCAGAATAGCTCATCTATTTTTGCTCAACTTCTATACCATGTCTTGGGAGTTTCAACATCAGTGAATGTTCAGAAATCTAAGAAAATTCTCATAAATCACATAATAGGTCCCTATTAAATGCACTGCTGAATTTCCTAGAAGCTTTCTTCTTGGTTTCTAGAGTAATAGGAAAATTCATATGTGAGACAAAGTTAAAAATAATATCACCACATTTGTGGTCTTCCAGTTTAGGACCTCAGAGGATGCATTCTGTATAATAATGTCATTCTGGCTTCATCTTAACTTTCATATTCTCATTTTACTCATTTTCTAATTTTTCATCTATTGACTGTTAAAATTACATTTTTCTCTTATATGTATTAAACATTCTATTATTTCTGTTTTTTGTTTTGCAAACAAAGCATGTTTGCAAAGAACACATAAGAAAACATGTATAAAATAATAAATACATCTAGTAGAAGGCAGAATGAAAATTATATTTTTAAAAGTGATGTGCTTCTCACCTTCCAGAAAGCAAAATAGTCAGAGTTAATTCTTTAGAGAACAGACAACTAATCATTTACATACTTATTAGAAGCCTAGGGAAAGCAGACCAAAGCTCTGTCACTGAAATAGCATAGGGCTAACTCACTCTAGGAGTAAAGGAAAGGGTTCCTTTTCAAGCCTGTGTATTCTAAAAATGAACAAGAATTGTTTGGAAATTACGTAAAAATAAATCAGTTTTAACTCTAGATTTCAGTGGTTGTTTTAGTGCATCATTTTATTTGCTGCAAAAAAAAAATCATATGCTTTATTATCCAAAGATAAAACTATAGCAATTTTTCAAATCTAATTAAATATTTTACTGTTAAAATCAACATTTATATTGAAATACTGGACAAGCATCTGCTCAGTAAATTAACCATGCTAAAACAGGGATTTACTATTGGCATTTATATTCAATAGGATATAACTTGACATCTGAATCTGCATAACTCTCCAGTAGAAATATTTTATCCTATACATGAAAGGGTTCTAAACAGCTGACTAGTTCCAAGCTACCAAGGTGTGAGCTCAATGTGCATAACAGAGTTTAAGAAACAAAATCTAAAAAGTTGTGTTCAAATGTACGTTCTACTACATAGTAAGTGTATGGCCTTGTTCTGACCATTTAACTCCCAATTTCAGTTTCTTCATCTGTAAGATACGGACTTATAACAATTTCTGTTTTCCAGTTTGTTGTTAGGTCTGAATAATGCTGACATAATGCTAAGGGATTTCATAGGTACAAATTGTTTTGTTTGATAGATTTTTAATTTTTTTATTTTTTTATTTTTATTTTTATTTTTTGGCAGGCAATGCTTTATTCTGGAATGAATACTTGTTAAAGTCACTAGGTTGGATATCAATCCCTCTGCTATGTTCTGGATACTGGACATGGTTAAGTTACTTCTTCATTTTGGGACACACTGTGTTTTTGCCAGTAAAGTAGATAGTTCCTACTTCTTTTGGTTGTAGTGATGATAAAATAAGATCAAATATGTAAAGTCTCTTAAATTGATACCAGGTAAATGGTAAATCTATTACATCTTTTTCCTACTGGTTGATTGCGATGAGTGAGCTGCTCAATTGTTGACTCTTAGTTCCTTCCCTCATTTCAGAACAGAAATAACTGCCTCATTAATCAACTATCTCATTAACCAACAGCATTGCAGTCATTTGAAAATAACTTCAAAACTTCGAACAACGTGTTTTGAAGATCATCAATATTTACTTTTCTTTGAAGACAATTAAAAGCAACTGTCAGACTTTCTATCATAAAATTGCATTAATGTTGTTATAATTGATTGTATAACAATAACATTTTTATTTAAAAGATCATATTTTAAGTGCAAGTTTATAAATAAAGCAAGAATTCAAGTAATTTAAAGGTTACCTGTTTTAAAATGCCTGCTGCCATTTCATGGCTACAATCAAAGATTACATGAAACTCCTTGCCTCTTTTCATTTCTTTTAGTAAGGGTTTTGCATCCTTTGTATCAGCAGGTAGCTGACGAATTTTGAGTCGTAGATTGTATCTTGATGGAGCTTTGATGAGCTCTTGCAAACGAATGAGACCTTTAATTAAAATGGGGAAAAAAGAATATTAGAGATAAAAAATAGAATAGGCTATAGAATCAGAACACACTCATTATGATGCATGATTTTCTTCTTTTTTTAATTTTTGTGGGTACATAGTAGGTATGTATATTATAAATAACATGACATAGTTTGATATGGCCAATAATTCATAATATTTTTACCATTATGTGTATTTAATGGTGCAACTGTTGAAATTCCTGTTTCAACAGAATTCCATATCCTCTGTTGTTTTTGTTAAAATAAACATTTCTCAAATTCTTTAAGGCATTTTTCAAGTTATGAAAGAAACACATGAGTAAAAGTTAATATAAATAACTTAAATGTATAAAAAGACATAAAGTAAAATAATCTCCCTTTATACCCCAGTTCTATTCCCCTGCAGGTTATCACTATTAACGGCTTGAAATACTGCTCTTCCATAACATTTTCTGTGCATTTACACATGTACACACACAGCTTTGTTTGGTATTGTATTTTACACTAATAGTTGTTTTGTGATAATGCCTTAGAGGGCATTGTAAGTCAGTTATTATTATTCTAGTTTGCCTTTAATGAACACTCTGTTTTATCATGTACCTAATTTATGTAACTATTCCTTATTATTATAAAGTCTGGTTACTTTTTTCCATCTTAAGTAACAAGTAATGCTCTGGTGAATAACCTGAAAGCATAAGTTGGTATAAATGTAACAGTGAAATAATTTCCTTAATAAAATAGATGTTAAACAACCTGAACCATAATTATTTTAAGAAATGAAACTAACAATTTTTGTACTGTTTTCTACTTAATAACATTAAATTCAAAAGTAAGTATACCTGCACACATTTATGAAGTAAGCATTCTCCTAGAGAAATAGCTGCTAATTAAGGTAAAAAATATATCATATTAATAGATATATTTTCAATAAGTCATATAACTGTGATGAATTTTAAAATAAGATACAAATTATTGAATGTATTCATTTACACAATCTTTAAGTAATGAAACACTTTTAAGAGCTGACACAAAAGAGCCACTATGTTAAACAGTATGAAAAGAAAAAAAGATCATCCAATTATACTGTAGCTTGAATCAAATTAAGCAAGTTTCTTTTCGCCTTTGACTCTTTCTTCTTATCTTTTTAAAAATGTCAACTCTATATTATTATCTATGTCTATTTTCCCTGAGAAACTACCTTCAGTACAGAAGAAACAATGACAAAGCAAAATATTTGTAAATAATCAAGAAATATGTTTTCCTTTCTCTTTCTCTCTAGTGTGAGTGTGTGTGTGTGTGTGTGCACATGTTGTCTGTATGTATGTATACATACTTGTTACTAGGTTTATTTGGAAACAGATATAAATATACATCTATAGGACTAAAAATCTACTGTGTATCAAAATAACAAAATCTTGAAAAGAAAAATCAAATTCTGGGAATTTTTAATTCAATTTTAAATAAATATTTTAACATATGTAATGTCATATGCATATTTGTAACATAGTTAATATTAATAAAATTAACTTAGTAAGTTTTTACTATTTTTATCCTCAAATAAGACATGTTTTAAAAATACGTGAATTCATCAATAGAGTGAAAAGACAACCTATAGAATGAGTAAAATATTTGCAAACTATAGATCTGAAAAGGAGTTAATATCCAGAATGTATAAGAAACTCAAACAACTCAATATCCAAAAACAAATACCTGATTAAAATATGAGCAAAATGCTTTAACAGGTATTTCCTAAAAGAAGACATACAAATGGCCAAGAGTTTTGCAGAAAATGCTCAACATCACTAATCATCAGGGAAATGCAAATAAAATCACAATGAGATATTATCTAACTCTAGTTAGAATGGCTATTCTCAAAATGACAAAAAATAACAATGTTGGTGAGGATGTGGAGAAAAAGTAACCCTCACACACAGTTGGTTGGAATGTAAATTAGCACAGCCATTATGAAAATGGCATGGAGGTTCCTAACAAAATTAAAAATAGAACTACTATATGATAAAGCAACCCCACTACTGGGCATATATCCAATAGAAATAAAATCAGTATGACAAGGAGATGTATGCACTCCCGTGTTTATTGTGGTAGTAGTATTCATAATAGCCAAGATATAAAATCAACCTAAGTGGTGTCTAACAATGAACAAATGGATAAAGAAATGTGGGACACACACACACACACACACACACACACACACACACACACACACTCAAATGCTGTTCAGCCACAAAAAATGAAATCTTGTTATTTGTAACAATATAGATGAAAATGAAGTCATTATATTAAGTGAATAAGCCAGACACAGAAACACAAATACCACATGTTCTCACTCTTATGTGGAATCTAAAAATCTGATCTTATAGAAGTAGCAAATAGAACTGTGGTTACCAGAGACTCGGGAGGGTAGAGAGAAGAGAGGGATAGAAAGAGGATGGTCAGCGGGTACAAAATTACAATGAGAAAGGAAGAATAAATGCTGGTGTCTTATTGCTTAGAAGGATTACTATAGTCAACAATAGGGTTTTATTTACCTCAAAATAGCTGGAAAAGAAGATTTTGTCTGTTCTCACCACAAATAAATGATAAATGTTCTGGGTAATGGGTATTACCACATGTATATAGTAATATATAATTACTATATAAATATAAAATTACTCTAATTTTATCAGTACATATATAGATATATCAAAACATTACATTATACCCCATAAATATGTGAAATTATTATGTATCAATTAACAATAAAAAATGTAAAGTTACAAATATACTTAGTATATTTTGTTTTAAAAATGCAGGGTCCCATAAAATTGCTTCACTGTAACTTATTTTAGAATTTTGCCATGTAAAATTCTACATAAACAGCTTTGACATATAACAGCTACAAAAATGCATGGCAAAATAGTACTAACAGATTTTGTTTTGCAAATTTAAATATTTACTAATGATAAATAAATACTACATTAAAAAATTGATATTAAACGTATCCATTAAACATACTACAATAAGTTCTAGAGAATTAACATGTGTTTAATGAGCACAGGTGTTAACATTGAGTTGTACAAAAACAAAAATAGATATTTGAACTTGTAACACCTGCTAGAGTTTAACATTGGGCTGACATGCTTCCAAACACGTATGTACAAAAAACTATATGTTCAGAAAACTTTATAAGATCATTGCTGCTCCAGGGAAGGGTATTTTCAGTAGGTTGCGGGTAGGTTGTTATGCCATCAGTGCGAGGGAGGTGAAATACAAACCTCCACTCAAAATCATCTTCATATATGTCCATGATACAGTTTTAGCATCCATCCTAACCATAGCTAATATACTTGTAGGAAAGTATCAGTCCCTCTCTAATCGATCATCAGTAAGAGATCCATAGACACCTTAATTTCCATGTCTTCTAAACGAAACGTTTATCCAAATCAGCAGATCACGAAGTGGCTCCAAAGACACCTGTACTCTTTAGGAGGGTCCTTGCGGTCCAGCTATTTTTTTAGTAATAATACTAAGTAGTTCTTTTTCTTTAACTTTCATTCTCTCACACATGTGCAGTGGAGTGTTTCAGACATTACAGGATATGTGATGTTACAACAAATTGAATGAGGAAGCACATATGAAAATCTAGCTGCCTCTCATTAAATTAAATATGAAAGAGACATATAAAATAATGCTACCCTTCTCACTATTTTTTTTATTTGGAAACATCTAGATACTTATCATAAAAATATAATATTTATGTGAACAGGTAATTAGTTTATTGTTATTAAATAACAAATAATAAATTTAATGTTCTACTTTCTAATGCTAATGTGGTATCAAGAAATATAGCATGTATTTTAAATGCTTTTAGAGATTTTGATTAACTATTAAGGATATAAAGTGCTACTAAAACTAAAACGTCTAAGAGTTGTTAATTTAGATTACCCGTAAAATGTTTCTATTTTAAATTTCTTTCATTCTCCAAAACTATTTCCATAAACGCAGAATAATCAAATAGCAACCCTAGCTGAACAAAGAAAATAAAACTGCTTTTGTCCTATTTACCTCACAAGATTTTGTGAGTCAAATGTAAATTTGGGGGATTTAATCTATTATAGCTGGGATGTTGGGTTTGAATCTCAGTTCAAAACTTTACAATCTGTGTGACTTTGTGCAAGGCATAGTATTACTCTTAGTTTTGATGTATTTTTCTCTATAAGAATGTAGAATCATCTATGGTTTAACATGTAAAACACTGAAAAATAGACTAGCATATATTAGACCTTCAATGAATGGCAGTTTGTCCTTATCATTTTATTAGCTAACATGGGAAAAGAGTATATTAAAAATGTACTAGCTATTACATCTATTTTTGGATGATAATCTGACACTGATTTAGACAGAAAACCTAACATAAGACTTTTAAAAAATATTTTAAGAAATTAACTCATTACCAAAGAAAAGGAGCTATACAGTTACATATTAGCTCATCATTTTTGAAATGAAAAATCTCAACTGATCTTAAAATAGAAATTTTCTGAAAATAATATCCACAAACAGTTTTTGTTGAGTTCATCCTAAGGATAAATACTGTCAAGTATTTTCAAGTCTCTTAAGAGATCATGTGGATAGTCCATTGAGCCATCAGGTACAATAAATGTTTACTTATTCTCTTCACACTTATACATCTCTGCTGGTATTAATGTAAAAGATTTCAGTTTGCCAGCTTCCCTCGGGAATAATACTGAAGAGTGAAAAAAAATAATAAAAACCTCACTGCTAGTAGGACCTGCCATCTCCTGCTTGAAAATTGGAGTAAAATGTTGTCTTCATTCATTCATTCCACATATATTTTTTTGACATCCACTATGTGCAAGACACTGATTGTAGATAAATATAATGACTGGAATAATAGTTTTTATTCAGTCTTCAACTGCATTAGATACAGTTTGACTCTGCATTTTTTAATACAAAAGTAATTTCTACAATACTTTTCACAT